TAATGATTAATTAAAGGATTACTGCCGAGTCTGAGTTGATGAAGCAGGTGACAAGGAAATCCCTGCATAGTTTCTATTGAACGAGTACTTTCACTACGAACAATAAAAACTATTTGTCTGACGATTGAAATTGAGTTTTTATTAGCATTTGAAAAATTATCTTATATATACATATGTAGGTAGATTCATAAATCCAGCAATTTTATTGGAGATTAAAGCTGTTTTTTTGTGATTAGTGAAAAAGTAGCCAAACAAAAGCCTGCTTAAAACCATAAACAATTTTTATAAAACTCAGATTATACAACAACAGCCACACCAAGTATTAATAAAAAAATATTTATTTGCTCACACATTTTGGCTTGAGTTTGTTCCGATTCCAAATGGCGTATTTGAAGATAAAAGTAAAAAAAAATACATGCCGAAGGCTTCATACCTTTCATGAACATCAAAAATTTAACTTCAAACTTGTACTGCATTTTGAATCAGATATTTTCTAGCTTTATATTAAATTTAATTGAATTTCCCTTTGCACTTTATATTTATGATTAAACAAATAGGGGAAGGAAGTAGTTAGACGGGGGGATAATATAACAAAATCTCATATCCGAACAATCCTTATAAAGCACCAATCTTAATGATCTTCTGTGTAGACCTTGTATGATTTTATGATCGATAAGTTAACAGATCACACAATTGTACGGTTTTATCTGCCTACATAAAGAAGTTATTCGCAAAAAGTTATACATATCTGTACAATCAGTGGTATTGAAAATATACCTCCAAGAGCACCGATCTTGACGATTTCCTAGATAAAACTTGAACAATCAGTTGTATGGGAGCTATATGTTGTAGCCGTGCGATTTTGCCGATAAATACACCCGCTTACTAAATTTCAGTCAGATATCGTGAAAACTGAGGAACTAAATTGCGTACAAACAGACCTATAGACGGATAGAGAGACGGACATGGCTAAATCGACTCAGTTTGACGTTCTGATCATTTTGGTATACTATTTCATGTGTCTACCTCTTCTTCTTCTGGTATTTATAAACATCGTACGCGAACTGCTCCGGTATAGCCGATTAAGACCGCTTAATTACCCAGTAAACCACCTGATGCCACCTATGTATGTTGTGTGATTAAAGTTCTTTCCAGCGATGGGATAAACAAAGAGCCCGGCATGCCTTGGCGCACAGCTCAGTTTCACCTTCTATCTTGCTGCCAAGAGTTAAACGAGATTAAAACTGCATGTCTGGGAATTTAACTATTAAAAATAGGTTAGAAAACCTTGAAGACAGTGAAACACTAAGCTAAAAAAGACAAAATTTGTATGGCTCTACAAATTCAAGTGAACATTAAGTTAATTTTTTCGCTCAAAACTCCATGGTCGGCCTTAAGAAGTCTTCTTTCTGATCTCTTAGGACCGTTTTCACCATCTCTGGTTAACACTAATCCCCAGTTAAACATTGTTACCGACGTTGCCGACCCAATGTTAAATGAATGGAGTCAGTACCGTTGGTAACGATGTTTAACTGGAGATTAGTATTAACCAGTGATGGTGAAAATGGCCCTTAAAGTGATCTGCATGCCCGACTTCTTACTCCTTGTTGTTAGTATGGATTGAAATTTTCATGATATATTTAACTTTGCCCCAGACACACCGTAATATGTTTTCTTCAATTATTATTTGTTATTTGACATCCGTTTCGTAAAAAAGCACCTTAAGTTACTCATTTGCTGACTGGTTTAATGACAAAATTAACATATTAGTAGTTGCATATGTTTTTCTGTAAGAATTTACCATTGTAATTCAATAAATCTTTCACTATAATTAGTCACACATTTGCGGGTAAGAAAAAAGTTGTATAGTTCACCGAAAAAGTTTTTAACATTTCAATAAAATGTTTATTTTTTCTCAGAAAACTAAACAGATGAAAATTACTTATAAAAAGGGTAGCATTAAGAAGGCCAGAAAAATGCTACGAGGCTACACCAAAAATTCCGTGGCTAATGCAAAAATAGAACTATTAATTTAAGGCTCAAAAAGGCTAACCTGGTCACACAACCTGGGGCCAACGTGAATAAGCCTATTTTTTGGACAACCCTTTCTGGAATTTAATATTTCTGACCAAGTATATTTCGTTTATAATAGAATAAGTAAGCCCGCCTCTCTTTACCCCTCCAAATTTTTTTACAATGCCCAAAAGTACTATGAAGTTCCGTAACATGTCAGTTTTTTTGTAATGCTTTTGGGAACCAAACTATGTAGGCGGCTTTACTAAAATATTGGTCTAAGTATTGTATATTTATGAGAAGCTTTTTTTCATGGCACTAATACACTCGCATACCAAGCATAGGTCTTATCAAGTGTTTTGTGGAAATACTGAAGCCCACCGTCAACGAACTGATTGGGCCTTATCTGTGTGGCTTTAGACCTGGCAAATCGGACATACATTAGGTATTCACAATTTGCTAGATCTTGGAAAATACTCCCGAGAATAGGATCGACACACACTATCCATTTGTCGATTTCAAAGCCGCTTTCGTCAGCACAAAAAGAAGTTATTTTATGCCGCGATGTTTGAATTCGGTATCCCCACGAATCTAATACGGCTGTGTAAAATGGCGTTAAGCAATACCGCCAGTTCGGTCACAATTGGGAAAGACCTCTCCGAGCCGTTTGATACTAAAGGACGTGTCAGACAAGGTGACTCCCTTCCAAGTGATTTCTTTAATCTGATGTTGGAGAAGATCATAAGAGCCGCAAAACTTAACAGCTCCGGCACAATACTTTACAAGAGCGTACAATTGCTGGCGAATGCCGACAACATCGCGTATTTTGGCGCGGAGGCATGGACAATGACAACATCTGATACATCTGATGTAGCTAGTTGTGGAGTTCCCAAGGGAAAGGTTCTGTGAAAGATTTACGGATCTTTGTCCTTTGACGATGCCGAAAACCGCAAACGATTTAACGATGAGCTGGATGAGTTTTACAACGATATAGACAAAGCGTGGCACATTAAAATCCAGTAGCTGCGCGCTGGCTAAGTGCTCCAGATCTGAAAGTATTCATCGCGGCTTACTGGCCGTCTCCACAGGATAAAATTTATTGCTGGCCAGCTGTCATTTTGGTCGCTAGATATAAGTTATAGATATCAGTGGCAATATTTGTGTAGGCTTTTTATATCTTGATATAAGCATTTGTAAGTTTGCTTCGAAAACGTATTTTTGCCTGATTTAATCGCTTAAAAAAATTTTGAAAATAAGTTATTTTATATCCAAGAGCATAATTATAAGTATTTTAACAGGAAACAGCTAAATTTTTGCTTTTGTATTAAAATATTAATGATGTTGCCGCCACAAAGTTTTCGTACAAATGAAAATGTAGCTGTCAAACTACCAAATTGCCGGCAATAGACGGCAAGATATAAGCTCTGATATATATTGCTCTTGAAGAGCAATGAGCGGTCTCCATTGGCTATTTATATTCTAACATATATATCAAGATATAACCTTTATCCTGTGGAGACGGGCAGTTAGATAGTTAGAGCGCCAATAAAGAAGAAAAAGAATACAATCGGAGGTTTGCTATGGCCTGCCGAGGGGCGACCGTAGTGCAAGAAAAACAAATATGAACACTAACGAAATGACGAAGGCGAATAGTACTTAATACAAATACGAAAATCGAAACAAAGCCGAATACGAAGGCAAAAACGAAAGCCGATACGAAGTCGAACATGAAGACAAAAAACCAATATGAAGACTAAGACTAAGACCACTATGAAGAGAATCCGAAAACCGATTAAAACAGATGATATGTACTTATGTATATCAAACGAAAGGTAAATCAATTTGCTATCTTTCGTTTTTAGGCATTTTTATTTAAATTGCAAGATTTGGTGATATTTACAAAGATTAAAAAAACTGTCGTTTTTTCAAAAAATGGGGCAATTTCGCATTTATATTTTTATTTTCATTCAACAAAAACATTATGTGGATTTTGGGACTCCGCGACCGATTTTACAGGGGAGTTCGATGGTTTAGTTCGTGGGTAAAAAACCTGCATATAATTCTTTGTAAACCTGTGTAAATATTATAATTACAACAAAGGAAATGTTTTAAATTTTTGCGTCATTATTTATTGCTGCCTTAATTTTACAAGTACGATTTAAGCGTAAAGTAATGAATACATTTAATTCTAAATCATTCTAAACTCCTTTCACTTGTTGCATTTCACTGAGCGCATACTCCACTCGGCAACATGTTGCCGGATCTGCGATTACGAAACTCGTAGCATGCAACGCACCAACCAACCAACCAATCAACCAACCAGTTGCATTCATTCATTAAGCTCCTTGTGGCGCCAAGCGCATCAGCAACACCAGTAATTGGTACGTACAACCAGTTAGTACTAAGCACTCGCATAGGCGGCTAAAAGCGTTGACGAAGATGATGCAAGTACATACATATGCATGTGTGCGATTATGTTTGCTGTGCTTTGATAAATTGAAATTGGCGCTGCATGCAATTCCATTCATTCTGCCATTCATTCATCGATGCTGGTGAGATTTTATGGCGTAGTGTGGCGCTGAGAAACCAGTTTCTCCATTCATTGCTAGCGAACTCATCGTATTGACTCGGCGGTGGGCATACGAAGTACGTACATATGTTCGTACGTAAGAGACGATGGCTACTACATTGATTCGATTGACTCACTCCGCTTTTGCAGCTGCTGCTCCATTCATGCCTAGTAGGCTGGCTTATTGATGCTTTCCCGCGTTAGCTGCGACGTACGTAACGTACATAGCTTTTAGTTGGGAGTTGATTTTCGCGCCCATTGATTACTCCTATAAGTTGTTGCCCAACTCAGCTTGCGACTCCATCGTTTTATTGATGTTTACAATCACTGTTGCTGCTGCCACATTTTAAGCTCGTTCTGGTAATTCTTTTTTTTTTTTGCGGCCGGCTTCATTGCTAGCCCATTATTTTTCCGTTCGTTTTACGCCCAGCTCCGCCTCACTTCCAATCGATTTCGTTGAGTTGTTGTGTGCCTTGTTGCTCCACCATTGCTGCTGCATTCCAGTAAAAGTGTCCAGCTTCGGTTTGCAGGCAAATCACGTGCTGTTCCATGTCCTCTCCATAGCCGATGGCGGTGGCATTGACATTGGCCGCTTGCTGTAGTAGCCATTCGTTGGCGGCATTCTGTGCCATTTCGCTGGTTAGCAGGAAAGTAAGTTTACTCAGCTCGTTGTTGTTATTATTATTATTTTCAAATTCACAATTGTTGTTGTTGTTGTTGCTCCTGCTGTTAATGTTGGCGTGTTGTAACTGCTTCGCTTTGCCGAATTTGAAAAGTTGTCGCATGCGGCTAGCCAAAAATTTGAATTTGCACAGCACTGGCGCGCGCTTCAGCGTTGAAGATTGCATGACTCGCCTTTTATTTTTAAAAATTACTACTTTTATTTCTCAAACAAAAGAAAAAAAATAATATTTCGTTCAAACTTTTTCTTTGTAAAGCCTTCAAGCTCTCGCCGCGTTGATTACACTTTGCTTGCTTTGCATTGACTGCGCGCTGGTCAAAAAGTCACATCGCTTTTATAGCCGCCATCCCATCCACTGAACCCAGCCCGCCCTCCTCTTTACGCTGGGTTGTGGTGGCGTAGGGCGCAAGCAATGCAGCAAAGTCAGTCAACAATGAAACCACACATGCAACACATGTGGTGGTTGTTACGGCGCGCAGCAGCATTGTTGATGAGCCCTGCACGTGCTGAGCGTGCGTGCGGCAGCAACATGAGTGAGCGCGTAACACTGACATCAGCAACAACAGCCAAAGAAAGGAATATCAAATGAAAGCAAGAAATATGATAAAGCAAAAAAAAAAACCGTGACAGTCACTAAAAAGATGAGGCATACACAACAACAACAACAGCGGCGGCAACAAAAGCCGCAGCACTTGTCGTTGTGGTAAGCAAACAGGCGCGCTGCGCTCATCCCCCTTTTTTTTGTTAATTCACTCCTTTTTGCACAGCTCTGCACGCACACATCCTGCCCTGCATTACGGCGACCTCATTGAACGAGTTTTGGCAGTTGCGCTTCCCAGCGTAAGGGCTGCACGGTCGGTGGAATTTCGAAAAATTATCCCACGGTTTTTGGCATAATTTATGTATGCATGTGTGCTTTATAAGTGGCAGATGTTTGCAATTTGGCACCGATCGCGCAGTATACGATTGCTCGTGTGTAACACCACAGACACAAATTGAAAAAAAAGGATTCGACTCGTTTCGGAAGGGTGGCCGCATTTTTTTTTGTAGTGAGAATTGAATTTTATGCAAATATGCGTTGCGGGGTGTTGCGATGCGTTTGCACTTGCTGCTCGAGTTTCCCCGCAATTAAAGTGTGGGAAAGTGCGTCTACATTAATATGCAACATGTTTGCAAACAACAACAAAAAAATGTAGCAAAAAAAGTGCGAACGAAGGAGAACGAACTCAACTTCTTGTCGTTTAGCTGAGAGGCTAGGCTAGGTATGCTGGCCAGCCAATGTGTGGATCATTAGGGTCCATAGCGTTACCAGATAAACCACGACCACTATGGACAGCTAATAACTGCATACCAGGAGAACTGTTGGAGAAAATCGCAGTCCCATAGGCAAACTGGAACACCTAATTATACCCTACCTTGGCGCCGGCTTCGAGATTAGATTGAAAACCTGTCCCAGTAGACTAACCCGCAGTCTGTTAAGGGCAGGATACTAGCAGAGGATATGCTCCTCGTTCTGCAACTTCTACTGATCCTATCGTTAGTCAGAGCTAGTTTAAAGGCGTGCGATGCCAGCAGGAAATGCCCAGTTAGAACACCTCCTGCTTATTTGTTGCAGTGCAGTTCAGTAGCTCCGACGTCCTCCTTATGGCCAATACCTCCGCCTGGGAAATGCTGTAGTAGTTTGGCAGCTTATAAGATTTGTTGAGGCCGAGCTCCGCGCTTACAACTGCCGCCCCTAAGCCCTTTTCCCCCTTCGATCCGTCCGTAGAGACATTCACCAAGTCAACACTCCTCATGTCCTAACGCCAGCCACCGCTATGGCGGCAAGAGTTGCAACAAGGTGTAGAGTGCTACCGTTGGTGTAGTCCTAAATGCCCCTGCCATGTCGATCATTGATAGCCTGTATTCACTTTCTATACTCGTAAGAAATATTTTCTTCTCTAAAGCTGTCCATCAAACCAATACCATCCAGTGAAAAAGAGAAGGCGACAAATCTCCAAGTGCAGCCCGGCATCTGTTTGCATGCTTAGAATGCCACGGAGGCCTTCCCCGCCCTCTCCTCCACAGTGACGTGCCACGACAGCTTACTATCGTGTATTATTTCGGGGTATTTGGTGCTAAACGGTCATCCCATCCAGCTTGGGCGTGGACCAGTTCGGAACCTTGCATTTCCTGGTGAAGAGTATCAGATCAAAATTACGGGATGAACCTCTATCGTTGCTATGCCGTCCAAAATGGCTGGCGTTGAGACATTGTTGAATGCCCCAGGAAGACCCTCAACATTAATTTCCACTTCTACAGAGCTGCTTCTATTCGCTTGAGAACATTGCTTAGGTATATACCGATCTTCCTTTCATGTAGGCGTGTTGTGTCTTTTGAAGAAGCGACTTTAGGCTAATGGGTCTGTAATCCTTTGGATATGCATGGCCACTTCTGCCCACTTTTGGCAGGAGAACCACCCACGCAGTCCTCCAAGACGTTGAAACATAGTTCAGCTTTAAACAGCCTTCAAATATATTGCACATCCAGCCCCGGGTTTTCTGACCCGCCTTCTGCAGCATCGCAGGAAAGATGAGTCCAGGCCCGGCGACTTATACTGCGTAGATAAGCTCAAGGCCCACTCCAGTCTAGACGGCGTCCGTTATGTTGAGAACTGAAGCAATAAATTTAGCGGTGGAGTGGTTTAGTGGTGGCTTTCCAACTCTATGAGCGCCTATGCCTTTGGCTCGTTTGCCGGTTAAATAAGCTTTGCATTGAGTCGCTTAATTGATTTTTCATACACTTACCACAGACAGCGGCACAAGCTTTCTATAAGCACTTATTCCTTATCCATACCAACATGACAAAAAAAAAATAATATGAATAAATTTCAATATCACAATAATTGCATTTTGCCGCCAAGAGCGCATTCAATAGTCTCCAAGCGAACGCTTCGCACGCGCCACAACTCACCAACATCCACCAATACATATCCTTGTCACTCTAGCGCGCGATCAGGTGCATACAAGCGCTCCTATCTAACGGCGCGCTGTCGGCACACGTGTGCGGCACGTTTTGCCTAACGACGCACTGTAGAGCGACGTGGGGTGGCTCGCAATACACCACTTTACTGAATTCTCGTTACCATTTTTAGCTTTAAAACTTGATTTTTTTGGGCCGCGTGCCATTGTGCGCGCGTGCCATTGTAAATTTCGCTTGCGGTCACTACCTTCTCTCATAGCGCGCAAAAATTGAATATTCGTTAAATATACAGTTCACTTACTGTTTCAGCCGCCTTTACATTTGTGTGTTCGCTGATTATTCATAATTTTCGTGTCACGTGTTGGCCGTGTGAGCACTTAAGAATTTGTAGCGCGACCGCTTTTTCACTCCCTTTGTACACTTCACTTGACTACAGCATAATTGTTGGGGAGTAAAGTGTCAAATTGATTGTTTCCTTTATTGATTGTATGTATTATATCCTTGATGTTTGTTTTTTATACTTAAATTTCCATTTGATAATAGAAATATCTATGTACACTGCCGGAACAAAGTATTGGTACAGCAAATTTTTCACAATGCATATATGCAAGAGATTTTATTCTAATATTTTTCCGCCAATTTTGTATAAAAATATGGTTCATTCTACAACAAAAACCATAAAAATATAATTCCTCATTTTTATGTCAATCTCGCGAAAATTCAGCAAATTTTCATGCAACTTTCAACTTTTTTATAAAATTTTTTAAAATTTCTTTTGAGTATGCAGTTTTGTAGCCAATTAAATTCTAGTGAAAAATGCAAGTTCGGAGTTAGTAAAAAAACGCACTGATTTTTGAATTTCTTTTTTTGTCAAAGGTGTTTTGCATTTTTTCCATATAAACTATTTAAAAAAAATAAAAAATTTATGGTGAGGCTGCGTGAAAAAAATTGCCAAAAAGCAATGGTAATTCCTAGCTACTTAAAACTTGTTATAATAAAATTGATTAGGCTACAAATTTGCATACTCCAAATTTAAAATTCTAAAAAATCAGATTAAAAAGTTGAAAATTTGCTGAATTTTCGCGAGTTTTTCACAAATTTGCTGTGTCAATACTTTGTGCCAATACTTTGTCGTCCGCAGTGCGCGCTTTCATTCATCAACACCTGGGTTCAAGGCCTGGTCAAAACAAATTTCGCAAAAAATGTAGAAAAAAGGTTTTTTCTTAACAGGCGCACGCCACAGATCGGAGGAGAAGCTCGGCCAAACACTAACATATGTGTAAGCGCCAATCTATTATTATTATTAATACTTTGTTCCGGCAGTTTATATGCATTAGACTGGGTCAAATAAAACGTTCTTTTTCCTTCGCACCCATACGAAAATCTCTTTGTCCGACACATAGAAAATAGTTGCAAAAAACAATTAAATATAACAAATAAAAAACCGTTCAATTCTAGTATAATAAGTGCAATTTTGGTTTTGGCAATTTTTTTGTTCACGGTGTCAGTCATTTTCGTCCATACAAAGTGTGTTGGAACAAACTAAATCTTCAACACAACAAAACACAAAATTTTCAAAAATCTACGGTAAGTCCTAGTTACTTCGAAATTGCAGTTATTATACTAAAACTTTATGGACTACAGGGTTGTTTTTTATTTGTTTTATTTAATTGTTTATCAACAAAAATTCAGAAAAAAAAAATTTTTTTAAATTCTTATTTTCGCGACCGCTAACAGAAAAATGAGGATAGGCTGAAATTTTGCTACAATTATTTTTTTGTGGCCGAAAACGAAATTTTCATATGAGACCGAAAGGAAAAAAATTGTCGTTTTATTTGATACAAACATATCTTAGTTTTAAAGTTTTTTCGTCATTTATTTTTATTTTAAAAACGTTAAATTAAAAATATATCATGTGCATATTATTCAGTAAAAAAAGATAAAAATGGCAAAATCATGATAAGAAATAAATAAAAATATATTTCAAATCTTTTTTGAAAGACGTTCCTTTAAGGTTTGGAACCACTTTGCGCTAGATACAAAGAACAAAATAATATAACAAGAAAACACTTTGACTACCTTTTCACTTCATAAGGGCTTTCTGCAGCTCTCCAGAAAAAATCACAAGAAATATTTTTTCATAATTTCTGTTGCTTGAAAAAGTACTTTTCTGTTGCTGTAAATTTTCTTGAAAAAAAAATATACCAAGGCGAATCCATATAAGGTGGTTTTGTTTCATCAGCTGTGAGTAGCTTGTGATTGTCAAAATTTTGTATTTCGCTAGTGAGTGAGTGAAAGCGTGAGTGTGTTTGTATTTTCTGTCACCCTTTTTTATTAGGAGAAGAATAGCTGAAATTTGACAATGGCCCGCTAAAAGCAAAAACACAATACAAGTAATTGTTGTATTTGTTGAATCGATACCTACTTATATGAATTCGCTTTGTAATTATACGAGCGTTTTTTTCTTGAGGGCAGCATACTGATTTAAGAAATTTTGATAAAAGAAATTTTATTTTCCATCTCGTGCGTGTAATTTTATGAGTTTTTCGCTACTCTTGAGACCTGCAAACAACCCCATATTCCGAGCGCTCTGAAAACGCTCTTTCGAGGTTTTGCTGGGTAATAGCATTGCCGTAATTAAATTTCCCTTTTTTTGTGCGAATACTCTCAGCAGAGTTCACTGATGAATTATGTGTGTGAATGTATACACTTTTTAAGAACCCTGAAGATGCTAATTTCCGCAAGTGTAATTTTGTGTTCAATCGAAACTTCACCAAAATCCAACAATGCAATTTAACAACTTTTAGTTATCAGCAAAATAAAAGTCCAATTTTTCTTTTAAAAATATTTTTTAATTGTTCTAAATTTTCTGCTTAGGTTTANCCTGCAAACAACCCCATATTCCGAGCGCTCTGAAAACGCTCTTTCGAGGTATTGCTGGGTAATAGCATTGCCGTAATTAAATTTCCCTTTTTTTGTGCGAATACTCTCAGCAGATTTCACTGATGAATTATGTGTGTGAATGTATTCGCTTCTTAGGAACCCTGAAGATGCTAATTTCCGCAAGTGTAATTTTGTGTTCAATCGAAACTTCACCAAAATCAAACAATGCAATTTAACAACTTTTAGCTATCGGCAAAATAAAAGTCCAATTTTTCTTTTAAAAATATTTTTTAATTGTTCTAAATTGTCTGCTTAGGTTTCTTCTTACAAAACTATTAAAGCCTTTTTACAATTTCTCTAAATTTCTAAATGCTTAACAAACTATTAANAAAAAAAAATATACCAAGGCGAATCCATATAAGGTGGTTTTGTTTCATCAGCTGTGAGTAGCTTGTGATTGTCAAAATTTTGTATTTCGCTAGTGAGTGAGTGAAAGCGTGAGTGTGTTTATATTTTCTGTCACCCTTTTTTATTAGGAGAAGAATAGCTGAAATTTGACAATGGGCCGCTAAAAGCAAAAACACAATACAAGTAATTGTTGTATTTGTTGAATCGATACCTACTTATATGAATTCGCTTTGTAATTATACGAGCGTTTTTTTCTTGAGGGCAGCATACTGATTTAAGAAATTTTGATAAAAGAAATTTTATTTTCCATCTCGTGCGTGTAATTTTATGAGTTTTTCGCTACTCTTGAGACCTGCAAACAACCCCATATTCCGAGCGCTCTGAAAACGCTCTTTCGAGGTTTTGCTGGGTAATAGCATTGCCGTAATTAAATTTCCCTTTTTTTGTGCGAATACTCTCAGCAGAGTTCACTGATGAATTATGTGTGTGAATGTATACGCTTTTTAAGAACCCTGAAGATGCTAATTTCCGCAAGTGTAATTTTGTGTTCAATCGAAACTTCACCAAAATCCAACAATGCAATTTAACAACTTTTAGTTATCAGCAAAATAAAAGTCCAATTTTTCTTTTAAAAATATTTTTTAATTGTTCTAAATTTTCTGCTTAGGTTTATTCTTACAAAACTATTAAAGCCTTTTTACAATTTCTCTAAATTTCTAAATGCTTAACAAACTATTAAAGCCTTAGTTGTTTCTAATGGAAGATATGTATGTATGTATGTATCTATCTACATACAATAACAATGCAAATAAATGCGATCACAGTCTAACGCACAATCGTTGTACCAAGTCTTCTTGAATATTAAATAAAGCTCTCAGTTGCTACACCAACTCTATTCGCATGGTTGCTTTCAAATGATTTACAACCATGGCCGCCAGTTGGCGCTCTCAACGGCAGCCGTTGGTGCAGGCGATGGCATTGGGCTATCAAGCGCGCAATCACTGTGATAGCCGGAAGAAGCGCGACTGGATGGACGAGACAACTTCTCGCATAGCTTCTCCTCAACATTCTCAACGATTGTCTGTTGCTGCTGGCGTGGTTGTTGTTGTTGCTGCTGCTGCTGCTGCTGCTGCTGTAATAGCCGATTGAATTCACTACCCAAATGAGTCATCACCGACTTGCCCACATCCACGCTCATGCCTGGCATAGCGGCCATGACGCGCGAAACTTCATTGACGGCATTCATGTAACCATTGCGGAAGCTGTCCATGGGGGCGAGTGGCGTCAGCGCGGGCATCGTTGAGCGGCCACCACGACTACTGTGCTGACGCATGAATGCAATTGTCGATTCGAGCATCTCGGCTTTATCCATACGCATTATGGCGTCATCACCTTGGAACTCAGCAACCAGTGTCTTCAACGTATCCAGGCACTTGTTGATGCGTGCGCGACGTTGACGCTCCAAAAGCGGTTTCTTCACTTTCAAGTACAGCTCCGTCTTGGTGGCGTAGAATTGTGGCTGCTGTTGTTGTTGGCTGGATTTTGTATTGGGCGACATGTTTGTTGCTGTTGTGTATTTGTAGTTTGAGAGTACTTCGAATCTCTTTAAATCTTCTTCTTTCCGGCTTTTGCCTTGCGTTGTCTTCTCTGCTGTTGCGTCCGTAACTACACTTTGTGTTGCATGCACTCGACGAAGGATGCGATGCGAATGATGGTTGAGTCTCTGGCTGGTGTGGCTTTTATACTCGCACAGAGTTCGAAGAGACAATCGACTTGGCGGCAGGAACAACCCCTAACTGAATGTGCAACGTTTGCTGCACAGCGGATGCAAGCCTGTGCTGTGTGCGTGTTGGTTGTTGGTGGTGTGTGACTTTTAATGGTTGTCTGATTGAATATGCCTGGCAGCGTACTATTCTTGTTATTGTAGTTGTTTTTTTTTTGCCTTTGCTGCACTCGTATGTGTGCCAGGAGTGTGACTTGCATGCAGTCGACTATTCCTAAAGGAATTTCAAATTGGAAACAACGCGCGGACTTGTGTGAAATGCTGATGGTGCGCTGCGTGTGTCTTATTGTGAGTGGGAGGCCTTATCGCTGGGAATACGACTAGAGGGGGGAATAATTAAAAATTGGTTTGTTCTTGTGCAACTTAATATTTCTGCTTACTTAGAAGATTTCTCTAGAAAATTGTAACAGCACTGAAGAATAGTTGAGAGTTTAGGAAAATTCAAAAAAATTCTTGGCGCTTAAGATTATTGCTTTTATTGCTAAAAAGTGGTTATGAAAAAATTCAACATTAGCCAAAGCGAGATGCCTACTTTCCCGAAACTACTCAAAAAAGTAGTTCTTTCCGAAAGCGGAATCTGGTTCAGGGTCCATCCGCCCAGTTAACCCGGCGATCGGTGTGGATAGCATGAGTCCAGTTCTACTGAAACACAGCGAAGAGCTCCTACTTCCACACCTGCCGACATAATAAGGGATAGTCTGGCACTGGCCCACATTCCCGAGGTGTGGCAAAGGACCCGAAAATGGGTAGGAGGGCCTACGCTCTTGCTATTCATAGTGTCTTTGAGTGTGGAGAAAAGTGCTTTGCGCCTTCCTTGACGTAAAGGGGGCTTCGACAACATATCTTATGTGGGCGTCGATCGGACACTTGCAATGTGGAACCTATCAGCCGCAGATGGATAGCTGGGCCGCTACATACTATGACCGCTTAAACCGAAGTCGGCGATAGCGTAGAACAACTGAAAATAGCAACAGCAGTCCCACACATGACCGACGGCAACGCTGGAAGAAGTACCTTGAACTAGAGCCACTGCATATATATTATAGTTGAACAAGTGGCAAGCAAACTCTCCTAACCTTTGCGATGGAGGGCTTAGGCAAAGGTAAGGTCCTGTCATCAAGGAACAGTGACAAGTCTAGCTTGAAGAAGCTGTCAATGACCTTGGGAACCTTCCCAAGCGTATTCCAAGCGGAAGTTTTTATCATCAGTCTATGCGCAGATATTAACCTTCGTAGAAACGATGGGGTATTTTGACGGGTCATTGCAGGCGTAGAGACCACTTGTATAATTTGTGATTCTGGTAAAGCGATCTATGTCGCTTTTGTGACATCGCCAAAGAGACACCATTGTACCTTCTCCTGGAGTGCGAGGCCGTTTCGCGCAGAAGGGAGAGGTGCCTAGGACACATATGGCACAATAGACCTACTGGTTGCCGTTCTTAGCCATATCTATCTATTTACTAGCCGGTGGAACTTGCCGAAATCAAAAGCATGGCCAAGCGTATCCAGGTACTGATGGTATCCCTAATATAGCTATTAAAACTGCAGTGGACGACTATCCGCCAGCATTTTTAAAGGAGTTCGATTCCTGTTTTTGAAATGGAGCATTCCCCCCGACTAGATGGAAAAAGTAAACCACAAGGTCAACCAAGCTCTTATAGGTCTCCATGTCGGTCATCACCCACATCTCCGATATGAACCTCTAACAGTCTATCCATTGCTTTCAGTTGAAATTACCGCAGAGTAATGGGCTTGACAACATTTAGATTTGTATGATACACCTCCCCTTCCACTTTGGGAACCTAAAGCATCTTAAACTGTACCAAATCAGATACCTACAGGGTAATTCTGGCAACCGTATTTCAACTCACCACAGTCTTTCAAAAGACAAAACTATTTCGTAAAGCAATTGTCACCTCTGGCAATTATTTTGAAAGCTCTTTTCTGTCTTTGAAAGATCAGCTAGCGAGGAGGTCTTAGCCTGATACTGTTTGTCTTTTAGCAAAAGTTTTTCTAAAAATTAAACTTAAGAAATATATATTATTCTTTTCAAACCAATTAAAACTAAAGATTAAGAGGAAATTAAATTAAATAAGCTAATAGTAAAAACAAATATTTTTAAAGCAAGCTTTCTAAATATGAACAAAATCGGACCATAAATACTGAATTACCAAATAGACTCGTGCGCCACCTATCGCTAAAATTTTTAGTGGAATTATTCCTATTTATATAGTTAATATACGTTGTAAATATGAACCAAATCGGACTATAAATACGGCCTTTTCAAATATCTCGACTCCTGCGCCACCTATCGGATAAACTCATCTTTCTATCGCGTTCTGAGCCAACTGTAAAGTTTCAAGTCTCTAGGTCACCGGTAAGTTGGTCAAAAATTGATGGCAAGATTTGCCCTAACAAACATACATACATACATACATACAGAGCAAGTTAAATAAAAGAGCTTGTAAAAGAAAGAATTTAATTAAAAAAATAAGAAATAAATATAAGTTTATACAATTTAAATGAAATAAAAATTTTTTTTTATCAATAAAACTGAAAAATAGATTACAAAAAAATGTTTTTCTTTTTAAAAAGATAAAATCAAAAATTAAAAAAAAATGAAATTAAAAAATTATAAGCGAAGTAAGTTTCTTAAAATTAAATTAAATTAAAAATATATTTTTCTTTTAAAAACAATCAAAACTAAAAACTAAAAGATAGCTACAGTGTAAAAAAATTATAATTAAATTAAAAATATTTTTCTTTTTAAAATATTAAAATCAAAAATTATGAAAAAATCTAACTAAAAAATGATAAATGAAGTAAGTTTATTAAAATTAAATTAAATTAAAAATATATTTTTGTTTTTAAAACAATGAAATCTAAAATCTAAAAAATAATTATAGTTAAAAAGAAGAAAATATAAAATACAAACTTAAAAATACATAAAATGAGTTTCTAAAATTTAAATGAAATTTAAAATTGTTTTTCGGAGAAAATTAAATTAAGGAAAAAAATAAATTTGTTAAAAAAAAGAAGAAAAAGTCCGCTGTACTCGGACTCGACCCACGAACCGCACGAAAGGCACGTTAGTGCTTTGCTCACTCGGCCATTGTGACTGGGAGAGCAGTGCGAGCAAAATGTTATACTAGTGCTTTCCGTCAAAACAGCTTTTCACCATGAGAGTTGGCAAAGAGCTTTGTTTTGTAAAACTTTCGTGGCAGAATAAAGAAGCTCTTACAAACTGTCTTCTAATTGTCCTACAAAAGACTTGCAACTATTTTAGCCAGAATTGCCCTCTTAATGCTAGCGTAAACATCAAAATGCAAATACATACATATATTTCAGGCAATATTTCAATTAACCAACTGCCGCATGCGCAATTCTTTGAATGCATTTATGAATACATTTACCGCTTATCAACAATAATCAGTTGCACACACCAATGCCATTACAAGCGGCTGCCCACTCGGCCCACTACATGTCGGCGCTCACAACAGGACGCATGCGCAACATTAAAGCCCAAAAGAAATCAACAAAAATGCACTTTTCTATAAATGTGCATCTGTATGTACATAAAAGCTCACTGCTAGCTGCAGCTTTGTGTGTGTGTGTGTGTGTGCGCGCGTGTGTTTTATGGAACGTGCCGATCGTCAAGCGCATGTGCCAAGCATCCATTAAAACAGGCTGGCTGCTTACAAAAAGCGCGCGTGTGCCACAAACCAAACGAGCTACAGCTACTCAACATTGCCGTCCATTCGTCCGTCTGTACGTCAGTTGCCATCATCCAAATCATGGTGCAGTGGAGTCTGCGAAAATCACTGCAGTTAGTCGCAGCTAAATTGAATTGCAACAAGCCAACAACAGGCCGACACAAGTCGACAAGTTGGCATGCGGGCAAGAGCCGCCCCATTGGCAATGCGATGGCGACCTGTTTGCGGGCTGGTGGTTGCACTGTAAAGCACACATCACTTACATACATACATATGTAGAGGTATGTATGTATGTATAAGTTTGAAGTGTGTGTTTGCATTTATGCCATTTATGTACTTAGTTTATAAGCTCTGTGCGCAAACCGCAACCCACCGTGGCTGTGATTCATCTATTTTAAAGAGCCGGCTCCAACGCGCTGTAAGCACTGGAGCTGTAGAAAGGGGTGGAGGGGCAAATAACAACAGCTTTGGAGTGTGCAATGCCATGGATTGTTGTTGCTGTTGTTATTTTCCTTTTTTCTTCTTCTTCTTCTTCTTCTTGCTGCTGCTCAGAAATCCAATACACGCAGCCGCGCATGCGTAGCAAGCCCAAATAACGACGTGCCTCAAGTACGAAGCACCAGCGCCAACAACAACAAAAACAACAATCATACGTATGATAAAAACATAGCCAAAGAAAAAAAAAACAACAAAAGGCCTTATGAAAGAAAGAAAGACACAGTAGAGGAAAAAGGCAATAAGAGCCAAGCACTGTATATACTTACCTACAAACAAATGTTCAAACGACTGCTGGTAAAAAAAATAGGCAGGTGTTCACCTCGCGTGGGAAACACACGACAAAATCGGTTCTCACGATTCGAAAATCCGGCACATGCATATACACACACACATACACGTGCAAGGCATATTTATCCAGCCTTGCATACAGAGTAGATAGTGTTTTGTGCGGTGAGTGCTGGTGGAAAGAGGGGGCATGTCTGGTTGCTTGACTGGCTTGGCATACCTGCACCGCACAGAGAAGAGGCAAGAACAAAAACTCAAACCACCAGCAATAAATGTATGGATGTACATACCCAACAACACCAATCAACCAACCACCACCATTCATTCGCTCAATCGTTGATCACACCAACTGACGCTCGATCGTCATACGGGCATATTTGTGCATCGGTATGTTGCTGTCGCTCCTGCGTACGTGTATGTGTCTGTCTTGGCCGCATTTGTTATGC